CTTCAAGCAACGTGGATGAAGTGCCTCTCTTCTTTTCCTCCAGACTCTGGGACCTTGATTTCCAAAGGAAATGCAAAATTTACTTTCATCAGAGAACATGACTTTGGACCACTCACCAGCAGTCCAGTCCTGTTTGTCTTTAGCCCAGGTAAGACGCTTCTGACGCTGTCTGTGGTTCAAGAGTGGCTTGACACAAGGAATGCGACAGCAGAAACCCATGTCTTTCATACGTCTGTGTGTGGTGGTTCTTGAAGCACTCACTCCAGCTGCAGTCCACTCTTTGTGAATCTCCCCCACATTTTTGAATGGGTTTTGTTTCACAATCCTCTCCAGGGTGCGGTTATCTCTCTTGCTTGTACACTTTTTTCGACCACATCTTTTCCTTCCCTTCGCCTCTCTATTAATGTGCTTGGACACTGAGCTCTGTGAACAGCCAGCCTCTTTAGCGATGACCTTTTGTGTCTTGCCCTCCTTGTGCAAGGTGTCGATGGTCGTCTTTTGGACAACTGTCAAGTCAGCAGTCTTCCCCATGATTGTGTAGCCTATAGAACTAGACTGAAAGACCATTTAAAGGCTTTTGCAGGTGGTTTGAGTTAATTAGCTGATTAGAGTGTGGCACCAGGGGCCATCAATTTTGAACCTTTTCACAATATTCTAATTTTCTGATATGATGAATTTGAGATTTTCATTTGTTGTCATTTGTAATCATCAAAATTAAACAAAATAAACATCTGAAATATATGAGTTTGTATGTAATGTATGAATATAATATACAAGTTTCACTTTTTAAATGGAATTACTGAAATCAATCTACTTTTTCATGATATTCTAATTTTATGACCAGCACCTGTAATCACTGCTCTAAGTGGGTCACTCTTACAGCTAAAGGCAGGTTTAACAGTCTCTATAGTCCAGTTAATGATTAATCGATTGCTAAATTAGTTGACGATTTCTTTTCAATAAATCAATCAATCAATCACCATTAATCAGATTCATTTTTCAGCACTACCTCAACCCCATTTAAACATAACCTTTAAAAATAGGTCAGCCCTGCTGCCAACTTGCTTCACTTGGCTGTAAGAGTTTGAGTGGCTGAATCTTTTATACTGATATTGATCAGTTGTCAATCAGGATATATTGATATTGATTTATTGCCCAAACCCTGGGTGATGGTAATACCCAGAGTAAACCACACACAAGGGAAACAACTCTTCACATAAATTATGTGTAATAAAGTGTAATAACAGAGGCAGTAGTTATTTAAAACTACTAGTGATATTGATGAAAAGCAGAGAAGGCATTTTACTGCTTACTTTCAGTGATGTGAATGTCTACATTATGGAGAAACGAATCAAATTCAATCGAATACAGTTCAAGGAATTCTGCATTGCTTTTTTTATGTCATTTAATAATCAGTATTTTCAACGGTTTTCAATTGTCACTCTAGCAGCATTTACTTCCATTTATTTAAATGTTCAATTGTGTCCAGAGAAAATGTCTTTTTAACAACTATCTTTGTTTCACCTTTAAATTATTGTCAAGGACTATCTGTGCATGTACCATAAATCTGAAACAGTCATTATATACGGCCTTGTAAACATTTGGTGTTAGGTTGGTGAAGCGACCATAAAGGCACTGGATCACCTTTCAAAGCACCATCATATCACGACCCCGACAGAATGAATGGAGGACAAAGTTTAAAAAAAAAAAAACTCACAGTATTTTCCAGCAATTGGAGTGAAACATATTTCACATCATCAAAAGAAAAGAAAAAAGTTTGGCTTCATAGCATTCTTGTCTTAAGGACATCAATATGTTTAAGAGGATTTCTCCACTATTCCACTTTACTACACAGAACTTCATTCACAAACTAATTTTTGCATTTCCTGTATCATCTCAAAAGCCCCATCAGACATATTTACTGAAAAAGCCACTGACATGTTTAATACTTTTTCCATCCAGTGCATTTATTTGAACAGATCTGCTATTAGGTTTGCTATTGCTCATATATTAATAGTGGATAGACCTTCAAAATAGAGTAATCTCCAAATATATCTCACAAATGTATTTCAAAACGGTTAAGATTATATTGGTTGCAGTTCACTGATTTTCTATTCACTGTGCAAATCTTTACAGGGGTGGCAATTCTTGCTGCTTCATTCAAACAAATTATCTTCATATCATTTCAATTACATAGGATATTATTTCATTAAAGTGTTTGATATATAAGTTAGGTCCCCCTGAAGGCGGCTGCGCCTTGGAAACTTCCCTACCGGTTCTTTACCTGGGAGCAAGTTATTTACTACTCTTAACTCAAACTGGGTAAAACCATCTAAAAAAGGACTATAAAACAGGAGTTAAAAAGGATCAGCGTTTATTCCAGGTCAGGTCGTTACAGGACAGAGAAATAGCTTAGGGTTGGCACAGCTGTGGGCTCAAAAAACGTCAGCGAGCGTCCGGCAAGGATTGAGCAAAGATTGAGCACCGAACAAGGCCATCTCCTCCTTCTTATACCTCATGAGTCCATGTTTTGCATCAGGTGGATGCTTAGCTGTCCGTATCAGAAACTGACACACCATCCATGCCTTGAAATTCATGCATCTTGCCTCTTTACCCCAGGATTACACATAGCTCTCCTTTATCAGTCCGGCTCCAAGATGTGCCCATATCCTGTGTATTTTTAAAGACATGAAGGCTGTCCTGATTAGATGGCCTCCGTATACGCAGTGACATCCACCATGTAAAGGAAGGCCTTCTACTCTGTCTAATCTGGCTAACAAAGTAACAATGCACATGATGTATAAAGAATAAGCCTAACAAAAGCCAGATAGCCACAAGGCTGTTGGTAGGGCACTCACCTATATTCAGCTTTTAAGGTGAAAGCAGCAGCATATTTCTTATTAAATATAATCTTATTAAATGATTTTCATACTCTGTTTAGTTTGGGATTTTTTTAATAATAAAATACACCTAAGAAAACAAGCAACAAGTTTAATCCCCTTTCTTCACCCACCGACTTACAAAATTAAGAGGCAAAGAAAAAAAATGTATTTCTTGTCATAGAGGTTAATTCAATTATCATTACTGGTACATAATTTTCTATGTAATCCTTCATGGATATATGTACATTTTTCATTCTATTTTTTTTTTATTCCATATTAGTTTTAGTATTGTATCCTAAATAGACCAACAGCTACAGCAGGAAACCACCTTGAAGTCAAATGTAACATCTATAGATCATTAATAACTTAGTCGTTATCAGCTATTTTAAATAAATTATAATTGAGTTGGCTTCAAATTAAAAGAAAACTAATTAATTTAAATTCAAATAATAAAAGTGTTCAAAGTTTCACTCCTACTCTTTCTGGGACTAAAGTATTTCACTGCATAAGTGTTAACTCATTTTATGTAATAGTGCATTTTTATTTTTCTGTGGTTACACAAGCTTTCTACAGCATGATTCTAGGTGAGCATTTTATATAATAATGTTGCCATATCCACTTTACCCAACAGGGAGTTATTACGAAAACTATTTAAGCAAATATCTTGCTGTCAACAAGTATTTCTGCAAAACAAGCCTAAAACTTTGCTTTATTTACCGTTTATGCAAAACCAAACATCAGCTGTAATATATAAACCACACAGCTACAGCTAATTAAATGTAGCCAGTGTATGTCATGTCAGCTTTTTTATTATTTGTGACTAATACACTCCAGCTTGATAAAAGGAACCTGCAGCAAAACAGTCTGAATGATTTGTTTCTAAATTAAATACAGCGTGATTCAAAACATCATCTCTATACTTAAAAATTTAAGACAGTTTACAGATGGCACAATAGAGCCAAAGAAGATATGCAATGATTAAACGAGGAGAAAACAATAGTCAAGCATTATGGTTGAGTGCATTTTTACATATTTTATTTTCTTAAAAGAGAGCAAGGCTGCAACTAACGATTATTTTGCAAATCGATTAATCTGTCCATTATTTTTTCAATGAATCGATTAATAATCGGAGAGCAAAATAAGTTTTTTTTTTTTACAATTTTAAACCAAATGAAACAAAGTTTTGGATAGAGGATATTGACAGGGGAAAAGATGTTTTTTTTCTTTATCTTAAATGCAAAATCTTGATATAATTTTAATATAATTATTGTTCTAAGTGGGTCACTCTGTCAAAGGCATGTTTTATACTCAGCTAATGATTAATCGATTACAAATTTAGTTGATGATTATTTCAATAATCGATTAATAATGATTAATTAGATTAATTGTTTCCGCCCTAAAAAGTTTATTAAACAAAGAATAAAGAATCACACACATTTATCACATGCTACATTTACTCTACAATTTTAAAAGTCAACAAGTATTCAATTCATATAATACTTCATTCCATGTTTATAATAACCTTATCAATAACACTAAAATAATAAAACATATATACTTGTTAATATTAAAATATCACATTAGCAATAGTTTTAAAAAGTCCATGTCATCGAGTTTTAGAGAGTATAAATGAGAATTAATTAAGGCTGAGATAAAATAACTTAACATTTTTAATACAACGCTTTATTCGGACTTGTGTATCAAATGTGAAGCGAAAATGCAAAAACATAAAAATAAAAACAAAGAATTTGAAAATAAGTCCATTATCAAAGGGAAGAGCCCCTTTTCAGAACAAAATGGCATCATCGCCATCTAGTGGCCAACTTTGTGAATTACACTATACATTACAGCATCGATTATAGAAATTATAAACTGAATTTTATTCAGGGTCTCTTTTATCCATTCATTTATTTAATAAATAATGAACAAAACTGACTGCATTTTACCCATTAAAGACCTTAATATTCATGATAAACACATTTCAATATCTTTTATATTATTTTTTGATTCAAAACGTTGAATAAAAATAACCATTGCCATCTAAGGAGATGCATTTATTTTCCCATTCTTGTATGGCTTAAAGGAGAGATTACCATAGTTACCTAGGTAAATACTTACCTTTTTAGGGACGTCATAAAACACCCCAAGGCATGGGACTCCAAGTCCAACACAGCGAGCCTCCTTAAAAAGTTTCCTACTATCGCCGTATGATCCTTCTTTGAATTTATAAGCGAAACTTAGCTTTTTGAATGTAGGACAGCCGGTTTGCACTATGATGTCCGTCAGGAGACCTATATAAACAATAAAACCTGCTAATGTTAGAATGAGGAGAGCCAGGAGGAGCGCCGCACACACACTGAAGCAGTCAGGCATGTTAGCTCTCCTGCAGAGCAGGGACCGCTAGCTGCTGTCAAACTGTGTTGGATTCTTTCAAGAAGCTGCCATGTGTCAAAAATGATGTGGTTTTATCAAAGAATAAAAACATTTATCCTACTCATCGTGCGTTTGTTTCACAAAGACACGAAAAACTACAGGATTACACATTGCACGGGACTTCCTGGAAAGTACCATTTATGCCGACAAATAGGGGTGAAGGACGTTACTATTCTTTAAGTTTAACTTTGATTCTTCTCCCCTCCATAATGTCCTCCTGCTGTTTACTTACACTAAATTTAATAAATTTTTAAACCGCTTCTGCTTCATCTAATATCTGACAGCTCAATAATATAAAGTAGTCACTATATATTTTCCGTTTTACTTGACCCTCTTATGGGACTCCCAAAATCTTGTACGGTCTTATTATTAAAACAAAACAAACAAACAAACAAAAAAACTATAATGACAGAAAACTCACTAATCATTCGGTTCTAATTAGTTCAAAAAACAAACTTTAAAAGCTAGTAGATTTTGTAAATAAAAAAGTTAGGAAACAGGATTTTAAGACTTTAAGGTACCCAAGCCACTATATTCAACATCCAATGCTGTTTCTTTAAGATTATTCAAAAGTAGGAACACAACTAACATCACTTTAAGTTATAACTGTATTAAACCATTGTATCAATGAATGTTTTTGCCCTTTTGCAGGACTGCCAACTTTTCACCAAACCTTGGGGTGAGATTTTGAAATAGATAAGACAGGAAACCCTCTCAGGGTTAGATGAGGACAGGTGCAGCTATAGGTTGGAGGTTTTCAGAGGATTTAACTGAAACAAAGTGGCAAAATGTGGAATTTTTATAGCACAGTAAATGTTACTGAGTAACAATAAGCGGTCTGTAGTTATGTGGAAAATTTTTCTCACAATACACATTATTTTCTACATTCTGGTGATTTTTGGAGAATTGAAGTACAGCAGAATGGGTCCTACTAAAATACCTACATCTTAAATATACTTTAAACGAAGAATTTCACAACTTTGTTCATTAATTATTCTCTGCATCCTCTACAGGAACCAGTGTGATAGAAACCTATGCAAACTTAACTGAGTATGAATATTTAGTAATAGGCTAAGGATTATAAATCTTAAGTTATTATCTTATTCTTTTTTTTTTTTTTTACAATTGACAAACAGCTAAACAATTCAGACCTTCTAGGAGGCTGTAGATTCAATAAAAACTCACCATGACAGGAGACAGCACTTCCCTGGATTCTTTCAGTTTGGAAGGTGTGATGGAAATTAAGTGTTTAAACATATTCAATGGACCAAATTAAAGATAAATGAGCATGATAAGTAATAATAAAAGAAGACATTCCTGTGGTTTCTCCTCTATGAATCAGGGATAACTGATTTTTTTTCTGCACATCCTCTCTGTTTGTGGTTGGTCATTTCTTGTGTGGCTGATCTTTTGAAAAATAAAACCTCCTATGGTTTTGAGAGGCAAACCTAAAAGCTTTCAGAATTAAAATATTTGTGTTGATTTAATTACTCCTAAATTTCAGCGGGAAATGATCGAACTAGACTGAGTTGAGTTTTATTTGGGATCTGTACACCCCAGAGAGCTATCCACCCAAATGTTTATGTGGACTATTATTTTGTTCCTGAGCTGCCTTCATTCCTAATCACATTTTATTACGACTTATAGTTGACAGCTGAATATTTAGGTCAATGTTCACAATTTGACCTCTGGCCTTCAGACAGTAGCTATGTTCAAATAGTATGGTTAAAATGGTAAAACTTCAATTGTTTATGATAAGCAATACTAAGCCTTCAAGTATGCAGTCGTCTTTTTTGTTATATCATGTATTTAATATCATTATTATAAAACAAAGACGAAGACTGCTCTCTCACCCACCCCTCACCTCCTGGGAAGGATTCTTGGGAACTTAAATATTCTTCACAGTACCTTAGCTGTCCCAGGAACTGTACAGTTCTGGACTGAGATGTCTCATATTTCTCCAGTTATCTATTGGAGCCTTTGCTCCAGTGTGGGGCTTACTGCTCTCTGTCCCCTAATGACCAAAGTTCCTACAGTTACCTTCACCTTCAAGGCTCTTTCTAGTTCTTCCCTGAGCTCTTTGTATTTATCTGTTTTTTTGTGCCTTTTTTTTTTATTTCTAATAGTTCCATAATTTTTGGAGCTAGAAGAGTCTCAATGTTAAAAAACTCATATATTTGATCCACACATGCACAGGACAATCCACAAAAGTACCAAAAATGCACTGACTAGCTCCATAATCATGTTCTAGCTCCATAATCATTTGAGATGGTAATTTGATCAAGTATTTCATTTCTTTTTTCAAAATGTTAGTTTTTTTCAAAAGTCAATGTAACCATTTACTTAGTCTCACTTAAGTGTGTTTGTGTACTTGTATATTTTACCTATTACCTATTTAGGACCGCCTTTGGTATATTTGCTGACCTTCTGAGGACCAAATGGCCTTATGGGGACCAAAAGCTGGTCCTAATGTGGCAGATCCCCATTTTTTACCCAAGAGAGTCAGTTTAAAGTTAAGGTTAGGGTTAGGAAAATACTGATAACGGTTAGGGTTAGGATTGCATTTTGTATACGTGTGTGTGTGTGTGTGTGTGTGTGTGTGTGTGTGTGTGTGTGTGTGTGTGTGTGTGTGTGTGTGTGTGTGTGTGTGTGTGTGTGTGTGTGTGTGTGTGTGTGTGTGTCTGTGTGTTATATTTTGTTTCTGAGGGGGCGTTCCCCGAACGCAGCATTGAACTTGGAGGTCTCCTCCCTCAAAGTTTCGGTTGGAGAGAACAGGATAAGACTTGTTGACAAGAGACAGGAGAGTTCACAGCGTCTCTAACCTAAGAAATCCAAAAAATGTCTGGTAATATTAAAACATTTTACAACTTCACAGCTAAGCTTCTTTCCGGTGAACCTTTCAGTTTCTCCTCGCTGAAGGGGAAAGTTGTTCTCATTGAGAATGTAGCGTCTCTCTGAGGAACAACAGTCAGGGACTACACGCAGATGAATGAGCTTCACTCCAGATACTCTGCAGAGGGACTCGTTATCCTGGGTGTGCCCTGCAATCAGTTTGGACATCAGGTAAGTTATGTTTCCATTTTTAAATATATCAATAGTCCTTTAAAAGCACTGCATGCAAAATGTTCTATTTTTTAAATATACTCAAGGCAGCCAATTGTGCATTTTAGGATCTTAATGGGGTAATATACATATTCATGTTCCTTAAAAGCTTGCAAATTTGCCTTCATTACTCTATGAAGCTAACAATGTTTTGCTTTAAAACTATCGTTATTGGTAATGCAAGTAAAACACGTTCTGTTTTTTTGTGATGCTTTTCAATCCTCAGTAACTGTGCCCATGTTTATCCATAACAGGAGAACGGCAAGAATGATGAAATCCTAAGATCCTTGAAGTATGTCCGTCCAGGGAATGGTTTTGAACCATACTTCCAGCTCCTTGAAAAGGTGGATGTGAATGGAAAGGATGCCCACCCCCTGTATGTCTATCTGAAAGAGAAGCTCCCTGTCCCCAGGGACGATGCTTTGTCCCTAATGAATGATCCAAAGTTCCTGATCTGGAGCCCTGTGTGCAGGAGTGACATTTCTTGGAACTTTGAGAAGTTCCTGATCGGTGCTGATGGGGAGCCTTATAAGCGCTACAGCAGAAACTTCCTCACTATTGATCTTGAGGAAGACATTAAAAAGCTTCTCAAGAGAAACAAGTAAAATGTGCTATGACACTCAGCAGCTTGTTGCTGAAGATATCGGCTGTGATCCCTCCAACTTAGAAAGGCTTATCAGTAGACACACCTAGGAGGGGTATTTTATCGAGCTTCCCAGCTCACAGTTTTACCAAAACAGCCTTTTTTTTAAGATTGTAATATTTTCAGTGGTAAACACTCGGTTCCTAAACCCATTTACTTAATGATGAAACTCCTGGAAACCATTTTGTGTAGGGAGTTTCTGAAGCACATGTAAATGTTTGACTTTACCACTGTCTATTCTACAATATAAAGAAAAAGAGAAAATGCACATTTTATGTAAATTAAAATGCCTTTTACGCAATTCTGAATATTGTGATCAATGCAGATAATTTGTTTGTTAAAAGTGAAGTGTTGGGAAGAGGCCTCATAGAAGGTATCAAACTCGACTGGATATTCAAGTCAATGAACATAGCGTTTGGGAGTTTGTTTGTTTTTTTTTCCATTTGAAACTGTTATTTATCAGAATAGGATCTAGATAGGGGCTGTACCTAAGGAACAGTTATTAGTATGAAATAAGTTATCTTTAAAAGCAACTAAAACTTCTGGGTTGTGATTTCCTCCTGCTTTATAAATTACAAATTATATATTTAGATTAGGGTGAGACTTTATGTCCAAATTTCAGAGACTAATACTCATTCAGTTTTATATCAGTGACTGAACTGCAGAAAACATTCATTTGCCTCTTACGCTGTATTAGTAGAATTCATTCATTCAAGTTAGAAGTGCTGGAATAAATGTTATCAAGAGACAGAAATTAAAGTAAATGAAGTTTTTGTTAAGTCTTGGAATTCTAAGTCATTAGAACCCAAAAAATCGATATGAACAACTTGAAAGTTTTAGAAAGCTTTACAAAAAGCAGAGAAACATTGTGACGACAGTCAACCAGGTCACAAAGCTCAAGTTACCTCTTTCTGAATCTTCTTTCATGTTGGATATGGACAAAAATATAAGTATGAAGTATAAGTTTAGAAAGTATACCAAACAATGTACTTTTAGTGTACTTGAAGTATTACTCTTCTAACTATACTATTGTTAAGTATGTAAAATATAATTTAGAATAAGTAAACTCTAAGTGCACTGCCTGATTTTAAGTATGAAATATAGTGCACTTTTAGTATACTTGAATACACTACTTTTTGCTAAGGGTTGTAAAGCAAGTTTTACCTAATAAATGGATAGTGAAAAGGCAAAATATAGGGTTTGTGTTTGGTAGTTATAATAAGAAAGTTCTTGCTTTGTGATTTATGTGCAATATAAGACATTTGTTAGCAAGGTCTCTCAATTACTTATGTTTTATCGTTTTATTAAAAGCAATTTAAGGCACGCTAAGCATGAGGAGCAGGAATATCCTGTATTATTAACCAGTTTGGGTTTCGTGAAAAGGTCCCTATGAGTGACACTTCCTGCAGAACGGCTGCATCTCATCCAACATGGCCGGCCAGGAAGATCCCGTACAGCGAGAGATTCATCAAGATTGGGCGAATCGAGAGTATATAGAAGTGATTACAAGCAGCATTAAGAAAATTGCTGACTTCCTAAACTCGTTTGGTAAGATTCCAGCAACCAAGTCCTTAATATGATCACCTAAGTGTAGAGAAATCGATCGGAAAGACCAGAATAGCTAGTTGAATTAGCTTAGTAGCTACTGCTAGCTATGATGTTGATGTTTATAATGGCCGCTCCCAGCTAGCTGTTAGCTTCCAGCTTCCTCTATTCTTGAAGCATTCTGAGCGGATGTTTTTAGATACCTGTTGTGTATGACAGGTTCAAAATTAGAATAGTTTAAAAAACAATAGCTTGGTAATTGAAAAAGTTTAATGTTTTTTTCCCAAAAAAAAAGCATATGTAGTTTTTTATTCGGTCCTGTTTATTGAGCAAACAGCTGTTAGCGAACACTAGCTCAGGCCTTATGAATATGGAAAATGTTCGTATGTTCGTAAGGTTATGCCTGTATTATTAAGCAATGATCGTCGCAATTTTAGGCATATTCGGTTAAATTATAACATAAAAAGTGATTGTTACTCGTTTCAGTGAATTACATCGCTCTCAAATGAATAAAAGGGGCTTATACGATATTTTCCGCAACTTCTTAATTCGGATCAGGCACGTAGATCCCAATGATTTTGTTTATTATCAAAGCTGAGATCAAGAAATAAAAAAAAAGAAATTACAAGGCATCCAAGAACCCAATAAAAAGGTGTCAAAGATGAGAAAAAAGAGCGCTATAGGTCATTCATCCCTGCTGCCACCAGACTTTACACCGCGACACTCTCAAATGCAACAACTAATGTTCAATTACTATTTAATACCCTGTTCAATAATCATGTTAAATGAGAGACTTCAGCTGTTTTAGTTTTCTCACTACCTCACTGTTGTTCTTTATCTGGTACCACTTTAATGTAAAATGCCAAATCTATATGTGTATAAGTCACCTTAAATATACACAAGTCTCCTTAAATCTCTGCCTTATTTCTTTTTTCTCAATCCACTGAATATATGTGGACGCACTGTATATACTCCATGCACCTTTTCCTCCTTTTGGCACCTTTTTACTATTGAGCCAATTTAATTTAACGAGATCAATAAATTCTATCTTATATTATTTTATGTAAAACATGTTTTAAATTGTGAACACAAGTATAATTTCATAATACAGTGGTCATGTTAGTATTGATATTTATCAAATTGCGATGGAGGAACTCAAGAGAAAGATCGTCCTATGAATCAATCAGTTATTCTTTGTCACAAACTAACTGTAGTTAAATTATGAACAGACATCAGCTCAGATTGCGTATAAAATATGCAGACAAAAATTAAGAACGCTTATATAGAATTGAAAAATTTGTATTCTTAGAGGAGACCTCCAAAAAACACAAAGCTCTTTCAGGAGAAAAACACAATGTACTTAATATTTAATACCCTTTTAACTTGTAAAATAGAAACACATGTGAAAGATGTAAAAATTAAAAGATAGTATGGAAACCTAGCAAGTACAAGTTACATAAATAAAAAATAGCTTTAAAGCATCACAAGATGGCACCCAACCCAGTGATTTTTAAAAGCACTCTGTGGCATACCCAGTTTGACTAAATTTAACATGGGTATGATGGACTGGATTGTGACAAAAACAGTTTATTAAAAGTGAATATTCAGATTCAAATAGATGCAATTTGAATCAGTTACTCTGAGGAAATGCTGCAGCATGCAATAACTGTGGCCCCATTATAGATTTATTTTTGTGGAAGTCTCTCTTCCTTTCTTTACATATTTATATACCAATGTTTTGTCACTTTGTTACGGTGCTGTGCCAGGTTTTACAAATTGGCATGTTTAAAAAAAAAAAGTACTTTGGGCAAAATATAATAATGCAACTGAACTCTAACCCACAGATATGTCTTGCCGGTCTCGTCTGGCCACCCTCAACGAGAAATTAACAGCATTGGAGAGAAGGATTGAATACATAGAGGCCAGAGTAAGTGTAGGAATCACAGTAACTTTGTGCCTGGCAGACACTTTAAATGATCTAACCATCAAACTTAACTGTATCTTGATACAGGTGACCAAAGGAGAGACCCTGACCTAGATGATGGGAATTCCCAACATGCTCTTCAAACTACTTCCCCACCCTCCACCTCCACCCTGAAGGTTTTGGACTTAAATGTGCTGAGCTGCACTGTCCTTTTTGGAGGATCATGTGGACCATTTTTGATATTATATGGCTGAATTTTGTGTTGTTTTTATCTCATGACACTTGTGCATTCTGTTTATGGGTCAAGCATCATCATTGCTTTTAAAATTGAGCTCAATTAAGTATTGAGTTAAAAAAATCCCAGGGCTTCATGATGTTTTTCACTGTAAACATTTTGTATGCGGCGTCATTACCTATTCAGAGATTATTGGAAAAGGAAACAAAACGGGGAAACATTCATGTGTGCCAAGTTGAACAAGTAATTGTGTGGTCACCTTTATTGAAAACCTGCCTGTACATTAACTGTTGTAAGTGTTGATGGAAAATTTAAATACTGTAATAAATTATAAACAGTTGCTTTGTTTCATCTCTGCATAACCCTATACAGCCGTCTATCAGGAATATAGTCGTTGAATAGATCAAAGATGCTGAGGTAAGAATACAAGGGGGCACATCACAAAATCCTAGCTATACAAGGCTTACATCTGATAGGCAAATGCTGTGTCCAGCAAAGACTGCTGCCCTTAAAATGTCCTGTGCCTTTTTTTGCCATTTAGAGCTGTGGATTACTTGCATTCAACCGAGACCTCGCAGGCTTTGTGTTGATGCCAAGTCCAAAATTCCTTTAGAGTTTTACTGTATAGTAAAATACATAATTTAAGCTAATTATTTTGTATTTGGCATACATTGTGGAAAATTTTTGTTATGTTTTTTTCTTGCTTTTTGATTAGGGATGGGCATTTATCATATAATTTGTTAGTGATACATTTCTAGTAATAACAATTTTCATTTATCAACTTAACTGTTTTTTGTTTTTTTTTAGAACTAGTGATGATAAAACTCAAACTGGGTGGAATGCGATGGGGGTTTTATTCGATTGGGGCATTGAGATATTTGAAGCATATGATTAAACCCAGTTTCTTATTTATGCATCACATTTACTATGTAACTAGTGTCTTGAAGAAGCCTATTTTATGAGAATTTGATCAAGAATAAATTTTGTGATATGAGGCCTAATTGCTGTGGCATAAAGTTGAAGCTATACAGTTAACAACTTAAAATAATTACGGTGTGTTTTTGTTTTTATTATTACAAAAGTACCAAGAAATATTGTGATAAAATATCTAGTAATGACTATCATTCATTGTGTTTAGTTTATTACATTTTTCAACGCAGAAGTAAAATGTAAGGCATATTCTGGTCTGAGACCACAACGAATTGAGTAGTTTTAAATGCACAATAATGAAGATGGATTAAAGGTAATCCAGAAAAAAAACTGTGTTTTGTAAAACTACTGATCTTCAGACTGTATCTGGTCTAAAACCACATTCCATGGAGTCTAGTTTAAATACCGTAATTGTTCAATTATGGACACAATTATTCTGTGGCATATTTTGGAAAACCTGGTATATGAAATAAATTCTTTATTTGATAATTGGAAACTATTCGAATACATTTCTAGCTGGACACCTAATATTCCATATTCTCTTCACAACAATCAACTTCAAATTGAAACAACATGGAACTGTAACACATTTAATGATTGTCTAGAAGATGTATTGAAAACGCTTACAAACATTTTCTAATGTTACGTGTTGATAAAAGCTCACTCAAAATGGC